GGATACGAGTGTGTGCGTGGTGCGTGGCGCATGGCTGGTGCGTGATGCGAGGTGCAAGGCTTGTATGCTATGCGAAGCATGTGCGCCAGCCAGTGCGTGGGATGCGAGGCCAGCGCCAGCACAATGTGCTAGCAGCACTAGGCGTCAGCACACAGCACCAGCGCCAGCGATGCCCAACAAGCACTAGCTGGGCGATGCATGTTGTGCGTACGATAGAGATGCTGGGCAGACTAGGCTGGGTGGCCAGCAAGGCAAGCTGCCAGCACAGCATGCTTGATGCGGTTTGAGGGAGTGGGGACCAAAGAGCTTGGAGCAAGCCTTGGGGAGCAAGGTAATGGTCCCCCCAAGGTTCATGTTCCTCACCTAACCTTCTCTCTCCATTTGACACTTGTTGCATTGTGATTAGTTTTGTTTATTAATTTATTTTAGAAATAAATTAATTAGCAAAAATCCATTCTCCCACATTGGATGAGGAATGAGAATCAAGGGATCACTTCCCTATAAATACCAAGCTTGGTATTGGGATTGGAGACAACCTTGAGTGGAATTAAAAAGGCAACTCTAGAAAAGAGTAAACCTTTGATTCGTAAAACTCATAGTTAATTTTGTCCGGGTCTTGACTAACCTTCAAGACTTGGGACGCTCGGGTCGGGTCGAGGGTACGATCCGTCGGAGATCTCGTATTTTCGGGATTTTGAAGTAAGAGCTCTTTAGGAGCGAAGCACGCGTCAAAGGTATAATTCTTATTCTTAATCTTGTTTGATTAAGTTTATTATGCTTGTTTAATTGCTTTAATTAAGGGGCGGGTCTTGGTGGGTTTCCTTCCGCGTAGTGTCGGGTCACTACGGAACCCTACAATGGCCAACCACAGTTGCGCTTTATAAAATGTACAAGACCTAGCTTAATTGCTAGCTATTAATTTCATTTTTTTTTGTTTGGTAAAATGCAAGGCTCAAAAGATGAAGCTAAAAAATGTAACAATAATTCTACTAGGACTAAATCACATAGTTTTAAGATATATTTTTGCAAATATTGTGGTAGAAGGTTTCTGAAGTCAAAAGCCTTAGGCGGCCATCAAAATGCTCATAAAGGGACAGACGAGATGCCAAGCATCGGAAACAAGAGATGGTGACGATGATGATGATGGGGAGGAGTTTCGAAATGCCGGTAATGCCATACCTTTTAGTCCAGCCCCATGGTCTTGCGCAGCACCAAATGATTAATGGTTATAGTTTGCCTATGAGTGAGTATTGGCCGGGAGTCTATCGCTTGGATGAGGGTGCACTGAATTGTCATGTACCTGCAGCAGGGTCAAGTAACAATGGTCAAGTTATTCAATATGATGGTGTTCAATTGTTGCCTGATCTAAACCTGGAACCCCCTCTTTAGAAAGGACGTCACTCATTTTTTTTCTAACAAGTATCAATTGTTACTGTTCAATGATTTTACATTTTGATTCGTAAATTTCATGTATCAGCTGTAATTGTTTTCAGTTATTTATGAGAAATATTTTTACTTAATTTTTTAAACAATTAAAAAGTCATGTTATTGACATATGGAGTATGCGTGTATGATATATGAGGTAGATCACTTATCTCAAAACTTCATCTGTTTTTTAATTTTTTATATCATAACATGTGAGATTTTATCAAACATTAATAACTTGATTCAAAATTAAGGGTGGAGCTTGATGGAGTCCTTGCACAAGAGGAATTACTTTGGTACCAAAAGTCAAGGGTGGACTGGATTCGTGATGGGGATCGAAATACCACATATTTTCACCTAAGTACTATTGCTCGGAGATGGCATAACAAAATTGCAGGAATAAAGAAAGAGGATGATGGTGAATGGATCACGGATAAGCAGGTGGTTCAAAACACTATAGTCGAATATTTTGAAAAATTATTTGATAGTGAGGAGGAGCAGCCCCATGAAGACCTGCCTCGTGACATCTTCCCTGAGTTCACAACTCATGCCTGGAACAATTTGACCAGACCTTTTCTCAAGTGTGAGATTGACAAAGCTATGCAGGAAATGGGCTCTCTTAAGGCCTCGGGTCCAGTTGGCTTCCAACCCTTATTCTATCAAAAACATTGGGATCCTGTGGCAAGCAATGTATATGCTCTAGCTTTTGATGCTCTGAATGGTAAGGGACTGCCGCATAATCTAAAGGATACTTTTCTAGTCCTAATCCCAAAAGTTGATAAGCCGGAGTTAGCCTCCCAGTTTCGTCCTATTAGCTTATGCAATGTGATTTATAAAATAATCATGAAATCTATTGTGAATAGAATTAAGCCTATGATGCCTCACCTTACTTCTTGTACACAAACTAGCTTTGTTCCGGGAAGACAAATAACCGATAACATTGTTATTATTCAAGAAGTAATTCATACTATGAGAAACAAGAAAGGCAATACGGGGTTCATGGCTATCAAAATTGATTTTGAGAAAGCGTATGATCGACTTCGATGGGATTTTATACGGGATACTTTAATGGAGATACGTTTCCCTATTTTGCTAGTTGATGTTAAAATGGAGTGCATTACAACTTCTTCTATGCGTGTATTGTGGAATGGTGAACCAACCCAGGCCTTTTCCCCTAAGTGTGGCATTCGGCAAAGCGATCCTCTATCACCGAACATCTTTGTATTATGTATGGAACGCCTTAACCAACTGGTTGAAGAGTCGGTCATACTTAATATGTGGAAACCTATAAGAGCCAGTAGGGATGGTCCAAAGCTTACTAACTTGGCTTTTGCAGACGATATAATATTATTTGCTGAAGCAACTTATGAGCAAGCTAATTGGGTGAAGCACTGTCTGGAAAAATTTTGTGCAGCTTCAGGGCAAAAGATCAGCTATCAAAAGTCCAGAATTTATTTTTCTGGGAATACGAGTGAAACTCAAAGGCAGGAAGTTACTAACTTCTTGGGGATTGAAGAAACTGCAGACTTAGGAACGTATTTGGGCATGCCTACTATGACGAGTAGGGTAACTCGTGATACCTTTGGCTATCTGTGTGAGAAGATAGATCGTAGGTTATCGGGGTGGAAAACAAAATACTTGTCACTTGCGGGGAGAATCACTCTAGCAAAATCAACAATTACCACTATGGCTTCCTATGCTATGCAAACTGCCAGAATACCAAGAACAATATGTGATGATATTGATAAGAGAACAAGAAGATTCATTTGGGGAGGAGACGAGGAAAAACGCAAGATTCACTTAATTTTATGGGAAAATCTGGAAAAACCGAAGGAGTTGGGAGGGCTTAGCTTACGTTCACCTAGACAGGCCAATATAGCTTTCCTAACTAAACCTGGGTGGAGAATTCTTACGGAACCAAATGCATTATGGGCCAGAGTTCTTAGGAGTAAGTACTGCAAAGGGAGATGTGATGTGGATATGTTTGAACCAAAGACAAACATGTCCAATGTATGGAAGAGAATTACAGATAGTGCAAATATTAGTTCGCGGGGGGCTAGGATTGTAATCAGTGATGGTACTACAACCTTATTCTGGGATCATAGATGGGCTTGTTCGAATACTCTTAGGGAGATGGCTGTTGCAAACATTCCTTTAGACATTAAAGGTGCGACTGTGGCTGAAATGTGGGATGAAGAATTAGGATGGAAATGGGCTGCTTTTGCGGACTTATTACCGCAGAATATGTTAAGAGAAATTGAGGCTCATCCCCTCATTATTAACCCAGAGAGGGGTGATCTTATATACTGGAATAATGGAGGCAAAGGCAAATTTTCTATCGAATTAGCCTTGCAAATAATTAGACAGGATAATGAAGAGCTTGAAGATGGTTCATGGAACCTAGTATGGAAATTGAGGGTCCAACAACGCATTCGAGTATTCTTATCGCTGGTTCTCCATAACAGAGTACTGTGCAACGCCAATAGGTACAAACAGTCACTGACAGAAGACCCTTGCTGTAAGCTGTGCCTGAATGTCGAAGAAAATACAATCCATATCCTTAAAAGATTGTAAAGCAGCGAGAGAAGTGTGGCGTCAAGTGGGAGGACGTGCAAACGCTCCTGATTTCCGAAATGGCTCTCTCTAACAATGGGCGATTCGAAACATCAAGGTACAAAGGCGCAATGATCTATCTCCTGAAATCTGGTTTTGTGGGGGATGGTGAGACTGGAATTGCAGGGAAAATATCAGTTAGAAGAGAAAGATTCATTAAATAGATGGCACCTCCTTCTGGATGGATGTCATTAAACTCGGATGGGGTTGTTAAAGGGTCTCCTGGTCCTGCAGGGGGAGGGGGGGATCATACGTGACAACATTGGCAGAATGCAGTATGCTTACTCTTTAAAGCTTGGTCACTGTATGGCCTTTAAAGCTGAAGTTCTTGCTGTGGAGTACGGGTTGGAACTAGCACATCGAATGGGGATTAAGAATTTGCAGGTCCAAGTCGATAATCAAGCTTTATCTCACATTCTCAAAAGCTTGGATGACTATAATGGAGAGTGTATTCATGACATTCTTCACTGCAAAAGCCTAATAGTGAAGATGAAATGTGAAGTTAAAGTCATACATATTTATCGTGAAGCAAACCAAGCTGCAGATTGGCTCGCCAATCAAGGAGTTTTACAAAACAACAAGTTTGAGTTGATTCAGGTCCCGTCTTTTGCTCTTGGTCGTATTTTGCACAATGATGTGGTTGGTGTGGCGGTGCCACACTTAGTGCCGCATTAGTTTTCTTTTTCTTATTGTTTTTCCGAGGCCTAGCCCCTCGTGTGCACCCAAAAAAAAAAAAAAAAAATGAAACATTAATAACTATGTTTGATTTTATTATTTATAGGTACTCCGTATAAAACACTAATATCGGTCAAAGTTATGTATGTGCATAGTACGTGTATCGGTACCCTTTGTCCATGTATCTGTATCTTATGAGCACATTGTCACATCGACTAAACTCCCTCCTTTGGTAGTACGGTGAAAATCCTTTAACAAAAAGGTAAACCTGATATAAATCATACTGGGCCTATCCGGCTTATCTCAGTCCAAATATTACAATAGAATTGGGCCTATGATTTTTCTTATACTCTTTTTGACAAACTTTGCCCAAATTTTTTTAAGTACGTTTTTTTTTTTCTTTTCTTGGCTTTTACAATTTTCACTCTCTGGGCTGAAGTAACCGGCGAAACTTTTCCGGCTAAAAAATGAGAATCGTTACCGCAGCGCTCAACTGCCGACGGCGACTCATTTCCACCGCCGTCTCTTCAACTTCAAATTATTTCCGGCACTTTTCTTCTTCATCCTCCGGTAACCTTCCTCTTTTCTACATTTTATTTGGAAAATGCTGCTTGTTCTGTAAATTTGTCTCATCACTTTTATTTCAATTTTAAATAATGCAAAGTTTGATTAGTTCAATAAGTATGCTTGATGGTTAGATTTGGTTACTTATTGTAAATTTGGATGAAATATCTTCAAAATTAATATTTGGAGAAGTTTTAGGGTTAACATGTTTGCATTGTTGTGGATAATCAATTGAGCTCTTGAAACTATAATCACCTATGCGGCGGGTATACGAGTACTATTTTAGGATGTTCGAAAGAGTTTCCATTGATAACCAAACTGAAATAGAGTTCTGGGAGGATTATTCTTATGGTACAACTATTATACGGGAATCTCAATGAAATAATGAGCTTAATTAATGTGAGAGGCTTGAGTCCAATGTGACAAATACTACTGTATTTTAAATGAAGGTTGTAGAACATAATTATGAATGTTACATCTAAGGGCCGGTCCTGTATCTTTGATGCTAGGAACTCGTCCAGGCCTACTGTTAAGGCATGAGCATATTTTGTATAACTTTAGAAGAAAGTGGAAAGTTATTTTTGGACATCCACAATTTAGAAATGAATAGGATCACTCCTTTGCTTAATTGGCGGCTTATATTAGCATGCCATTGAGTTAAACTAAGCCAGATCTCCTGGGTCTGTTTAGCCATGAGCCATTTGAAATCCTTGTCGCTGGATGCTAGTGATGTGAATGTCTCTCATTTATCTTGATATACCCTTTGATGTACAGAACACATATCATTTATCAAAGATGTAGCCGCAACTTGCATTCCTGAGCACTTGCCCAATTTACTGAATATGCTTCAGACAAGAGGTAGCCATGTTCTGTGATTTGATTCTTGAATATTTTAGATATGTATCATAATCTTAGCCATTTAACATATCTCCAAATAGTCACGTTGCTGTCCATTTATGAATAATATTAATCTTTCTGCTTTTTTATAGGGGATTCCATTATTTCACCCGGAGACAAGCATGGTATTTTCCCCCTTGCAATACCTTTGTCGAAAAACAGCTCAGGTATAGGCAATGTATCCAGATTTTGCCATTTATTAGGGAACTTAAACTGACTACGGATTACCTCCATACATGATTTTTGGTTGGCAGGTGTTATGATTTCTCTGTTACGGTGGCCAACAGCACCATCGGGGTAAATTTCTTTTAGGGCTCTGTCTTTCTTTTTATCTGCCCTTTGGCATTTCCCATGGTTATGCATCCTTATATATTTCTGTGCTTCTAGGATAGATATGCCGGTTGTGCAAGTCCATAAGCATGGTGTGTTTCCATTAGCCAAGAACGTAAGTGGAGAAAGCATGATTTTGGTTCAATGACATAATTGGACTTTTAGAGCCACAACCAATCTGCTTGTAAAACTATATTGTTTATACCTCTTTAAATTGCTGCTCCTTTGATGATTCAGGTTGACCAGTATCTTCATAGAATGTTGGTTGAACAAGATTCCACTAGCCTTAAGGATAGAAACAGAGAGCTATTAAATGTTTCGGCTAATGCTGGAGAACTGTACACAGAGAGGAGCTTCATAGATACACAATTGCCAGACTTAGATACCTATCTTTTAAGGAAGGTAATGTAACGATCATAGTTCTATGTACATTATGGCATATTCAACTTCCTGGTTGAAGCATTTTTTTCTCAGGTTGGTGTGTTTCCTGATGTTTTAGAACGCAAAATTGACCATGAACTTGAGAAAGGGAACCATGTAAGATCCTCATACTGGACTTGGCTTTACAATGTTAAAATTTTTCTTGGGTAGAATTATTTCCTATATTCTTTAATATATATCTTCACATATTCTTGTGCAAGGTTTCAGCTTTAGTAACAGGGGAGTTTTATGCAAAGAAGCAGCACTTTCCTGGCTTTGGACGGCCTGTTGCATTTAATGCACAAATTTTGCTCAAGTTTGTTTCATATGTCCCTAAATACTATTAAATATAGTATTTTATGTTAAGAACATGCCTTGTTATTTTGTTCAAAAATTATATCCTTATTGTTACAGGGTTGGACGTGATTCAGAAGCTAAAGATGCTGCAAGGAGTGCGCTAAAATCACCCTGGTGGACTTTGGGATACAAATACCAGGTATACAATATGTTCTTCTTTGCATGATCTGTTTCTTTTTCTAAAGGACATAATCTGATTTACAAGGCTGCTGTAACAGGAAGTTGCTGAAATAGCAAAATGGAAGGACGAGCAAATTTGTTATGTTAAGAAAAAGTTGACAGAAGAAGGAAAGCGACAGGATCTGAACAGGGGAAAGGAGCTTGCTCAGGTTTTGTATAGCCTTCTGCTCTCTTGTTTGCTCAGGGGAATTTATGTGCATGTGATATGTGTTGAAATTGTGCTGTTTGAATATTAAATCTGCAGATTGCATTGGATCAAGCTGCATTTTTGCTAGATTTGGCTTCTGTCGAGGGTTGTTGGGATGACTTTGTGGATCGCATTAGTGAATGCTACAAAGAGGCTGGTCTCCACGAATTGGCGAGATTTATATCCTTTAAAGGCTAAATTTGAAGTGCAAATGTCTTCGCCTCCCTGATCAGAATCATCTGAGAAGCTTGTAGGCTCAGAACAGTGTAAATCCACTTGGTATCAACAATTTTGCATCATCATTCTTCAACTTAGTTTGACATGGTGTAACCTATGTTATTCAGACTCTTCATTTTACCTCGATCTATGTGATGGATCCTTGACGCTCGGACATATATAGGACACTTCAACCCTTCATTTGGGGTTAAAATCATTGATTTTTTCACAAAATAGATGTGTGACAATTGGAGATGTATCCGTGTCGGGCAAGAGTACCCGTGTCCTAAATCCTAATAACATAGGGTGTAGCTTTGTCTGCAACTGCAATAATAGAACATAGAACTCGTGGAAGTGGTTGTCTCATTCATGTAGAATTGTAATGGAAAATATTTTATGTTGTTCAGTTGTTGGCTTTGGTGATAAATACTCGGACAAAACATTTTGCTTCAAAGCAGTGATTTCACACGGCATTTCAATTTTTTTAACAGCCTAGATCCAAAATTGAAATTATCACTAGCTCAAATATTGGTACTGCATACAAGTCATATTTGGGCATGATGGTGTTAATGTTGAAATTCCTGATAGTTGTCTTAGTTTAGCTTATTCTTCTTGAAATCATAGATGCTTATAAGTTGAAGTGCTTTTTTATGCCAATCACTGCGGCTACTTGATCAATTAGTTGTACTGTAACATACTTGTGTCTTTACCTAAAGTTGGGTTGTTAAATCAGACTCTAAAAATGCCGCTTTCAAGTATCAACATCCATATAAAGGCATCCAAGATGGGACATGAATTTGTCGAGGTATTATTAACTAGTAAAGGGCTGGGCTACGTATGACTTTTGTTGGTGTAACGAGAACCACAAGGCCAATGATGTAGAATGGAGTCGATCCTAGGTCTCGGGTACCACCCTCCAAGACTTGAACAACTAAGCTAGTTGACATCCACGACTACATATGACTAAGAAGTAGGAAAGCAACAACTTACCCAGACATGTAATATGAATTGGAACCACTTTGCGGCTTAGCACAAGTGAAAGTCTCCTTCCAAAACCATTGTTGCGTTTACCTTGACTACTGCGTAGCTAAAGGTTAATAAAAGCATATCATTTTTATTTGAAACTAATACATGGTGCGTAAATTGAGAAAGGAAGGTAGTAGACTAATAGAGTGTATTTAGATTTAAAATGTTATCTCTCTCGATTGTCTTTCCTTATCAAATCATGGTTATGTAATACTTGCGAGTTGTGAGCAATTATGTTTCCTTTAATTCAATTGTTGTATTGCACATTAAGACCCCTTTTTTTGAACTGATTTGAGCTGAACTTAACTAAACTACATAGAAGTTTAAAAGAACGGAGCCTAAGGTTAAGTGTTGCTCCTTTGATAATCAATATGAAATAATTCAACTACATATAACACAAGTTGACAAGTTGCATGTGTTAGACCTTGGCTAGTGCATAACCTACATCTTAGTCTTTTTATGTTTCATAGTAGGAGTACTTCATTATTATTCCAAACATCATTTCATAATGATAAAGTCTTTCGTACTTCGTATTAGAATGTTACTCCTTAATTGTAGTACTCCTTTAATTTTCAACATGGGGGGAAGAGTTCAACATTAGGTAGAGGAAAAAAGAAGAGAGAAGTAAAAATAAAGATTCGTCTATGTAATAACAAGCATTAACTAAAGCAACAAGTATTACTCGTAAAAAATAAGAGTACACTTGTAAAAAGTACTTCATCTGTTTATAAATATTTGCTCCACTTTTCATTTTTGGTGATTTTTAAATACTTGTTACATTTTCTTATTTGAAAAGGTTTTATAATATTTAATTTATTTTTCTCAACTAATGGGACCTAGAAAATTATATTTTATTACCTTTAGATTCTCTCTCCTTCTATTTACTTTCCACTAACTCCACTAAGTCCATATTTTATTACTTTCTCCAATTTTTCCTAAACTCTGCGTATGGAGAAATGGAGTAGATATTTAAAAACGGAGGGAGTATTCAGTATTTGCATTGTGAAAGCTGAAAGTAAGATATTGTATATGTTTTGTAAAATAAATACTATATGTTGTAATATTTGTGAAACTCTGTGGAAATAAACGTTGAAGTCCTTACTAATTATCGTTTATACGAAGTTTTAGAGTTTTGGCGTTTTCTGCACACAGTAGCTTTCTTAATCAATTATCATTATATTCTGCAGTCTGCACATCCCCACCAAAATTGTTAGTGCCAAAACAAAATCTTTCCAATAGTAGTTTGCCTAAAAAATGTCAAACATTGCCACATGAAGAAAGTAAGTATCCCTTTTAGTCATATCTTTCTGTGCGGAGGATAGTGTGAGGCTGAGAGAAAATGGAGAAAAGGAAGTTAAGGGAAAAAGACAATTTTTTTCACAGTTTTGCTAATTGTTTGATTTCAAACATTAATGATTGAGCAAATCTTAGTCGTGATTGTCTAACTCATGCTTATAGGAGAAACATTTTGAAAATAATCGCGAAAATTAATGTGCCATTCTTAATATTACCTCCATTTCAAGTTAGTTGCAACTTTAAGCTCGACGCGAATTTTAATACAAAATTTCATAATGGCTTATCAATGAATTAAATAATAGTAAATTAAGGGTAGGAGAGAGAAAGAGAAGGTAATTAATAAATTGAACACCACCACCAACAACAGCTACACCGCAATCATCGCCCAACAGCAGCCACACCGTAACCATCGCCTAACAGCAGCCACTCCGAAACCACCCACCTCACAGCCTGAACCACCCAGGAACCACCCACACACACACCGAACAACCCTAAAACCACAACCTCTCAGCCCAAAACCACCACCACTCAAACCGACCACCCAGCAACCACCCACAAGAGCCCCTCTCAACCCTAAAACCACCACCTCTCAGCCCGAAACCACAACCTCTCAGGCCGACCACCCAGAAACCACCCACAAGCACCCCTCTCAACCCTAAAATCAGCACCTCTCAACCCAAACCACACGTAAACCACCCCTCTCAACTTGATTTTAAAAAAAATTAAAAATCAGATTTAAACGACCTTGAGCACCACTAAAATCAGATCTAAACAATTTTTTCTATAAAAAGTAAAATAAAAAGAAAGTGAGAAAGGAACACTAGAGAAGGAGGCGGCGACTTTGAATATGGTGATGAGCAGCGACGACGTTGACGGCGGTGGTTAGATGCGGCAACGATGTTGACGGTGGTGGTTAGATGCGGCGATGACGTTGAGAAGGTGGTGTCCAAACCACCTCGAGGCACTCCAAAACCATCCCAAACTAGCCCACCCATCTCTCAAAGCATCAGATCTAAGTAATTTTAATTTTTTTGTAAAGAAAAAAAAGAAGAAGAAGAAGAAGCTAAGAGAGAGAAAGAAAAGAACACCAGGGGAAGAGGCAGCGACTTTGAAGGTGGTGATGAGCAGCGGCGTTGAAGGTGGTGGTTTGAGGTAACGACGAAGTGGTGGTCTGATTATTTTGTGGGAGATGATGATGAATGTCATGGATCTGAATGATTTTTTGAATTGATTGTTGATTTAATTGGGTGACAATGCTATGTTAATTAAGTCAGATAATTTAATGAAATCTGATTTGGGTAACTAATTGTGTTTGTGAAATATTTAGTAAGGGTATTTTTGTACTTTCATTTTAAAAAACTTACTGAAAAGGAAAAAAAAAATTGAAAGTTGCAACTAATGTGTAGCAACCTTTTTTGGCAAAATTTGCAACTAATATGTAATAGAGGTTGTAATAAAATTGAGTTGCATCTTTATGATCTCGCAATAAGCTATTTGATGATTTTCCTTGTAAAAATATGATATACTCATTATGTCTCATAATATAGTTCTCAATTCTATATGCACTATGTTTAAGATGTACCTTTAACCATCTATATCTTTAATTGCATATTAACAAAAATTATTAAAAAAAAAATGATGTTATAAAATTACATATTAAGACGAATTTAACAATATTTCATATGACCCTATTCTTTGCATATATGTCAATGAGAAGCATGGCTCAAAATTTAAATGAACTGATAACTATATTGTGGGACGGATAGAGTATGACTTATATGAGATCCCGTGGTGCACGATGAGTTGAAAAGACCACACACATAAAATTATACAGTACATAGGCATATTCAGCATAATATGACTGGGGTTCATGAGAATCATGACCCAGCTAAATTGAGGGAATATATAATTTATATATACCGGCGAGAGTTTTCCTCCAAGGACATTTGGATTCGGCATTTAGCTAGTGTACTTAAAATGGGAGATTTCAAAGGCCATAAAAACTCCTCTCTTAAGCCAAATTCTATCCCTTTTAAGATATGTTTATGCAAATATTGTGGCCGAAGATTTCTAAATGCACAAGCATTAGGCGGCCATCAAAATGCTCATAAGAAGGAGAGACAAGAAGCAAAAGATTACAAACAAGAGATGACGACTTCAATGGTGATGTCGAGTTTCGGGATGCCCTTGATGCTCAGCTCCTTTGTTCAGCCTCATGGTTTTGCGCAGCACTTGATCACAGGAGGCCAGCAACCCGGCTTTTCCAGTTCTAGCAGTAACATCAGCAGCTTTCACCCTGTAATCAACTTCTGGCCGGGGAGTTATCGTCTCGATGAGGGAACACTCAATTCTCATGTACCTGCTGCAATGATCACCAGCCAACTTCAGGGTGCTACTGATGGTGCAGAGCAGCAGTTTGAGAGGGGATGCGCGTCTGATGATCATCAACGCGCATTAGAGTTAAAGCTGCCTGACCTGAATTTAGATCCGCCTCTTTGATACCATATAGACAAAGTAGTATAAGGAAATAATTGTATGTTAATTATGTACATGTGTGTGTAATTGTGCGTGACTTCATTTGCTTATATAGTACTCTGTAATGATGTTCGTTTCCATATTGATTTGTTACGTACTGATGAGCTTTAGGCGTTGTCGAAGTTATCAATGAAGGTTGATGATAACAATTAAGTTTGACAGTGGCTATCAACTATCGTGATTAATAAAAAAAAATTGGCGTACGTGGTACTAGAGGTCTGAAATCGAATTTCATCTTAATAGTTGTCTTTTGTACGGTTTTCTATATACCATATCTGTTAGTAATGGAAAACATTTACTATATATGATAGCATTGAAAGCATCGAGACAGAAGTATAAAGATAACACTGTAATTTCTTGCCTAACCAGGTCATCAAAAACTAACCAGTATCCAACTATTAAACCTATTTCCGTGATAACATCGTGTCACGAGAAAGATATAACGGAAATTAACATATTGTTCCGTAGTACACCATATGTATATAGTTTACTCTCTTCAGCTCTTATAAAATAGATGATTGATCACATATAAAGATATTAAAAATTTATAATTAGATAGAATGATACAAAAAATACTTAGATTTTCAAGTATATCCGTACTTCATAGAATTATGAAAATGTACAACCTTAAAAAAAATTCAACAGTAATCGTCATGATTCCTTTTTTCCGAGGGAGTACAGAGTTTCAAATTTAGAAAAAATTGAGTGATCATTAAACCTAGAACACTCTCTTCTTGACTGTCTTGGTCACAATTTTTTTTAAGTCTTTCTTAAACATTTCGAATGTAACTAGTTTACGAATTACTTGCAACCTTTGCAGATTCATTATTGTTGCCATTGGTAAAACTCATGGGTCGATGGCCCCACCTCAAGTCCTCAACCACAACACTATTCTACCAAATTGCAACCCAAACTTTACCATATTGGAAAGTTGGATATACTGCACAGATTATGTAATATCTCTTTAATTTTTTTTAACCTTTCTTTCGATAGCAAACCAGCAATAATACTGCCAAGAATCTTGCCAATAGTAGTATTGTCTAGGAAATCTCAAGCATTACCCTTTAAGGAAATAGTTTTTTATGGTATTTTTATCTTTATCTAAATTTTTACTCCGTAGTTGTGAATTGAACTCATCTAAACTAATTGTCTAAACTAGGGGTACTTCATAAGTTTATATGATACACATGATCAGGGGTACTTTTAAAGGTATTAAGTAACGTGTGAATGTGTGATATATTGTAGTTTAACTAATCCGTTTTAGAAATTGAAGTGATGTAATTATTTTAAGACGATCTAAAACAAATATGGTCAGGTTGTTACGAAAATGAAAATTCTTTAGTGCTCTCTCTCTCCGCATGCATTTACTCGAATTTATCTCTCTCTCAATCTCCTCACGAGCTTACATAAGTTTGTAAAATAACAATAAATTTTATTGTATGTGGATGCTACTAACTTTATTGATCAGTAAAGTTTTAAGATGTTGATGGATAAAATCTTTAAAAGGTCATAGGTATAATTCAAATGGGATTTCATCTAAGAATTTGTTTTTTTTTATGACTGTAGAATTGGAAAAATAATAATAATAATAATAATAATAATAATAATAATAATAATAATAATAATAATAATAATAATAATAATAAAGTACAGCTAACATTTTAGCCTTATTCAATTCATTACTTTTTTTTTTTTTGATAGGAAACCTTTCATCACATAAATAATGGATGTACAAGGCCATATATTTTTGATATGATAAAATGATAACTACTACTCCATAAGTAGTGCATGTAACAACACCTTATAGCAAGGTGACGTGTAGTTCTTCTCATAATTCGTTTAGTCCATATTATATATTTTTAGCTAGATTATTAGTAGTGTTAATGGAAATGCAAGGTTTCAAGGATCATAATAACAAATCTTCTAGGCCAAAATCTCTTCCTTTTAAGATTTTGTATGCAAATATTGTGGAAGGAAATTCCTAAACTCGCAAGCATTAGGTGGTCATCAAAATGCTCATAAAAAGGAGAGACGCGAAGCAAATTTTCATAACAATGAAATGAAATCAACAGCAAATGCGAGTTTTGGGGTGCCATTGGCGCCCTGCAACTTCATTCAGCCCCATGGTGTATCGCCATGCCTGATCACAGTAGACGAACCCTTCTGTTCCTGGACTAACAGTGTTAGAGCTGCAGCGGAATTTTGGCCTTCTAATAGATATAAAATAATATGAAATTTAACACCTCTCACAACATGCAATTCTAGGAATGAGACAAAATAACCAATAAGTAACAAAATATAACTTAAGAAATTAACCTCTCTTAATTATATTTAACTTCCGATGTGAATTACAAAATTTGATTGATCAAAAAGCTACATCTAAAACAACGTATTTATAATAATCCTAGAATGTTAATTATGGAAACATTTCCATTAAAACAATGAAGCATAAATAATCATGCCTACATTTCCTCTCTTCTTATCCTTTTATTTCTCTTCTCATTTGTTTTTCTGATGTTTCCTTCTTTCTCTCATTTTCACATTTCCTTGCTTATTATCCTCTGCACCTTTAATTCCTACAATTCTCCACCTCGTTCATAATTTGATGTAATTCAAAATTTTGAACGAACAATTTTTTTATTGTGGTTTAGTGTATCCGGTTGCACCATTTATAAAATGGCTGCCTACGTACCCCTGGCCGGGATCAAACCAATCGTAGTTCGATTATTTATCCATGTAATATCTAATATGGGATGACCTTTAGCAATTCCAAGCAATGTTGGAACTTGCTTCCTGACACCACTTTGGTTAACATGTCTGCAGGGTTCTTATCTGTGTGCACTTTCATAAGAGAAATATCACCTTTCTCTACAACATCTCGAATAAAATGATATCTTACATCTATATGTTTTGTCCGAGCATGATACACTTGATTCTTTTCTAGATGAATAGCACTTTGGATATCACAACTCAACTGTACACCTTCTTGTCGAAAGCCCAAATCATCTAGAAGACCCCTCAGCCACAATGATTCCTTTACCCCTTCTGTCATGGCCATATACTCAGCCTCTGTAGTAGATAGAGCCACTGTAGCTTGTAACATTGATCGCCAACTAACTGGAGCACCAAATATCATGAATGCATAACCAGTAGTAGATCGTCGTCTATCTAGATCACCAGCATAATCAGAATCAACAGATCCGCTAATCTGACAGTTATCTCCACCAAAGCATAATCCGGTATCAATGGTACCTTTTAAGTACCTAAGAATCCACTTCACAGCTTCCCAGTGTATCTTTCCAAGATTCGCCATGAACCTACTAACAACACCTACTGCTTGTGAAATATCTGGGCGTGTGCAAACCATTGCATACATTAAGCTGCCTACTGCACTAGCATAAGGTACATTGTCCATGTAAGCCTTGTCTTTTGCTGTTGTGGGAGATTGTTTACTAGAAAGCCTAGAATGCGGAGCCAATGGAGTTACAACCGACTTGGCACTTTTCATACCAAACTTTTCAATAACTCGCTCAATGTATCCTTTCTGGCTTAAGAACAATTTTCGGCTTGACCTATCTCTTCTAATCTCCATACCCAATATTTTCTTTGCAGCACCCAAGTCTTTTGTTTCAAACTCTTTACCAAGTTGAAATTTTAATCTGTCTATCTCCACCTTGCTCTTCGAAGCAATAAGCATGTCATCCACATACAATAAAAGATAGATATAATCACCTCCATGAAGCTTACGAATGTATACACAACAATCATAATTACTTCTGGAAAAACCTTGCTTTAACATAAAGAAGTCAATTCGTCTGTACCACTGTCGAGGAGATTGTTTCAATCCATAAAGTGATTTCCTCAAGCGACAAACCTGACTTTCTTTTCCCTCAACCTTGAATCCCTCAGGTTGATACATGTAGATTTCCTCCTCCAAGTCTCCATGCAAGAACGCAGTCTTCACATCTAATTGTTCCAACTCAAGATCACCATGAGCGACAAGACTTAAAAGCACCCGTATGGATGTGTGCTTTACCACTGGAGAAAATATTTCATTATAATCTACACCTTCCTTTTGAGAATAACCCTTAGCCACTAACCTGGCTTTAAACCTTGTACCACTTATCTCGGTAGGGTCTTCTTTTCTTTTATAGACCCATTTACAACCTATAGCAGTCTTCCCTACATGCAATGGGACCACCTCCCATGTCTTGTTCTTATGAAGAGATTGCATCTCTTCTTCCATGGCAACCAACCAATTCTCACTATCCTTATCCCTGATAGCTTGTTTGAAGGTGACAGGTTCATCATCCTCCACCGAGAGTGCATACTCTACCAAATTTAACTGCCCATAATGCCTCAGAGGTTTGTTTGACCCAAACTTCTGAACTAGTTTATAATTTCTCTTTGGCTTTGTTGATGCCAAAGAATCCTGCTGCTGTTGTTGTAAAACATGTGCATTTTTATGCTGAATCTCTTCATGTTCAAGTTCATCCTCTTCCTCATATCGAGTTGCACTAGGATGCTCCACCTGAACATGACTAGAGTCTATTTGTTGGTCTTTAGACTCTATCTCCACCACTTGAGTATTTGAAGTTTTTCCAACATCACCATCACTTGGCGTCATAGCTTTGGATAAAGCTATCATAGATCGTTCATCAAAGGTCACATCCCTGCTGATTACAAATTTAGAATCTTCTACACTCCAAAGACGATAGCCTTGAACTCCTTTTGGATACCCTAAAAAGATTGCTTTTTTATCTCTGTCATCAAGTTTATTATCTTTGACGTGATAATAAGCCGTGCATCCAAAAACTCTAAGTTTCCCGTAATCTGCATGTTCCCCTGACCACACTTTATAAGGTGTGTCTCCATCTAGAGAAGAGTGTGGGGATCGATTCACTATGTAACAAGCAGTAGCAACCGACTCTGCCCACCATTCTCTGCCTAACCCAGAATTAGAGCGCATACACCTTGCCTTCTCAAGTAGTGTACGAATCAGTCTTTCTGCGACTCCATTCTGTTGTGGTGTGTCTCGCACTGTCCAGTGTCTTACAATGCCCTATT